TGAGATAGATGATATTTAAATTGTTTTAACCTTCATTGCAATGTAATGATAAACGCCGATTATAAAGAAAATTTTGTTATCTTTTATCTTTATGGAGAGCTATTTCATAAACATCGCTAATAAATCAAATAGACTGCTTTAGTTTTAAAATTAAATTTGGATTTACTTTCAACATTTAAGAATTTAGATTAAAAAATATATATTAGGAATATATTCAAAATTTTGAACCAAAAAAATAAGCACAAAATTATGCGCAATTCGAATCTTTTAAATGCCCACCACTAGCTGACGTTGAAAGGATAACTATATATGCTATACATATCGATGCTATACGCAAATCGTTTATGTGAACTTAGTATAGTTCTTATCATGTTCCTATAGATTGGAATTACAAGTTAGTTCGGTTCGTTTTCTAAGAGACGTTCTTGTGACTTCTTAATTAGAAGTACTCTCTTTAAGCTATACGCAACTGTACAAATTATAACGATAAAGCGTATACTCTCTCATCTCTTCTTGGGCCTTTGAATAGAAATGCCATTTGCAGAAAGCTTTACATTTCCTGTGTAATTCCCAGAAAACTGGCATAAAATCCTTACGTGGATACGTTACAATTTCCAGAGCCAAAATAACCAGAGTAGTGTAGAGTACGTGAACCATTAAGATCTCAGATGGAGCTGAATACCCGTGACTTCTTTATTGGGCCCGCCGGCGTGTTGTGTTACGGCTTGTTCGAATAATAATTAATACAATTATGACAATAAAGTAGACGTGATACGCCAAAAGTGATGATATCGTGACTTGTTTTTAATACGAAGGAATTTGACTTCATATAGGAAAACTTGCTCAGGATATAAGGTTTCTTAAACTTTTTTCTCCCAACTCCCGCTGATGGGTATAAACTCTATAGCATATCTGGTTATGTTTGCATCAAGGTTTCATTCTGTATTGCTTACGGATTATAATTGAAGATTTTTTTTGCTGTTGTTGGCTTATTTGTAAGCAGGATCACATCAATTTTTGCCCTGAAATTTCATGTTTGCACCATAAATGTTGTAGCAACTTTCAGACCAACGTCAGGCAGCGAATATTATAGCCTAGATTTCGCATAGATCGCTATTTTTAAACCGAAACAAACGGACGGGTAAACAGACAAACATATCCAACTCTATACACAACCTTGCGTTGATACATAACATTTAGACTTTATGACGTCGTGAAGTCTTTTTTAGTTATTACAAGTGAAAAAATAATCCTAGCGTACGCTCGTCTCTCTGCGCGCAAGTTTATTTTTGAAATCGAAATTTAAATGGCACTGTTACGTATGGTGAAGTTTTTTCATTTCATTAAACTACATAACCAGTGATCGACATAATAGTTATAAAATTGTATAACATATTATTATAAATAGATAATGTAACGGTTCTTTAGCTTTTTGAGGTTAAGTCGATTTTTTACGATTTTCAACTCTTGCTTTGTAATTTTTAAATCGTTTCATTATCGAGTTCATGATACTTCTTAATTTTAACATATACATATAAGATACCTTTTCGGGGTCTGATACCTAATACACCTTTACATCAATTAAATGCACAGTGGTGGGTGCAAAAATGAAAAACAGGATAAATAAATACATAACAAAAAAATCATATATCATAAAAAAATAATACAGTGGTACTGCGGATCGCCTACACTTTGAGCCACAAACAAAGCGACCGACAATCATAATTTCCAACTCGCTAGCAAAGCCTCGTCCACAAAATCTACGAGCAATTATATCGAAAAGGCACTAACTAGTAACCGATGGTACCAAGTATCCAATCATTCCAAACAAAAAAACGAAAGACGCAAATTTCTACGCAATTAATTCTCAAATTTCTGCTATAATCGAGTAAGGTAAGCGTGTACCTACGGAGTATTAGTTTTTTCGCTTTACTATGTCTTCGTACTGCGTATTTCACATAATTAGGAATGAGAAGTATACGATTAAAAGAACATCCCCAGTACCGACCATGTCAAGTGTTCTTATATAAATATGAAAATTTTCTATAAACTGATCAGGGCAGTTTTTGAACTCACATTTTTGTATAGCCCTGACAAACACTTATATCGAATGGTATATCAATGTCTAGTTTACGTCATACTACTTTGACGACTACGTGGAATATGATCATGTCCGTTTACTTTTGCTAAATTCGTTTGCCTACAAGTTTCATATTTTCATTTCAAAGTTTGCATTCGCGAAGACTCCACCGAAAAGCGTTTAGAATTTTATGCTAATCCAAATCAAATACACTTTATTGGCCCACTGAAACGTGGGTCCGCATTTTTTCAAACAAATAAATTGCAACCGAATAAAAATGTTAACATTGATCGGAGATTCGTTTCAATTTGTTATCAAACTTTCTGAAGGCACTCGACCTTTTTTGAAAACAAAGATCACATATTAATAGTTACCATTTAATTATAAATGAGTCTTAATGGGGGCCCCACGGCCCCGAGAGAAGCACTAGGATAGGGAAGCGTCAAGAACAGTAAAAAGTGATCGAAAAGTTACGGCACCGATTTTTTTCATCGGCAAAATATTTTAATTTGTAAGAATTATGTGAAATAAATTCGGAAAAGTGTGAGAAGCGAAACTGAAGAATTAAATCGGTATTCCAACCGCAAATTTGCTTTAACCCATAAACGAACTCTAAGAGCTTGGAAGGAAATTTCAAAACTTCTCTCTTGAAAATCGAAAAATATTAAATACAGAAAAATAGGAACAATATCTTGTTAAATTCGTTTGGGCCCGTCGACAGATGAATATGGGTCAGTGGGCAGCGAATTTTGTCACGTCCATGATATATGTTATGCGTATGCATATTAAATTTTAACTGGATGTTCGTTACGAGTTTTTACATATTATGTACCGATGGCGACCCCTTTTTTTCAGGTTTACAACTCTTAAGGTTTCAGCAATTTATAACTCGGAACCATACGGGTCGTCTTCTTGGTAATGGTCCATACGAAAATGAGAAACCTAGGATAGAAGAATATAAAAATTTGAGCAGAAAAACTCGTCATAACTTGCGAACTATGTTAAAAACTGAATCTATTCGAGAAACAAAGTACCACTGTAAAAATTTATAAAAAAAAAACACTTTAAACAATTTAAACAATACATGTAAGAATAATTTTCTACGATAATTACAGTACAAGAAGAAGAAGGCGATATAAAAGAAAAATATATATGTTTTCGAATTTTTTCTTAAATTCTTTTACGTAGTTTTGATCTTAGAGCAAAGTATGCGATTTTCGATTTAATTTTAACAATAAATAAAAAACAATAAGAAACAAATTTTTTCAGTTCTTAACAAAAGGCCAACTAGTTATAAGTCTCCATGGAATGAGTGTTCACAATATCTACTTTTTAATGCAAATACGAATCGAAAATTATATCTTAAAACTTATCTTTTTTTTTAGTAAAAATTTTAAAAAATATTTTTGAATTTTTTTTGTTTTTGGCAGTTTTTTTTTTTTTAATTATATGTCGTTTGGTATATCGTAAAATAGATCGTTTATCATTTTTAAAGGATTTTTATGATTTGCTTTCGACAAAAACCAAAAAACCAATGATTTGTTGTTTACAGTTCCAATATCATATCAACTTTAGAATATTGCTTTTCTGTTTTTTCATTTTTCTTTTTGTTTCACTTTTTAATTTCGATTTATGTTTTCGTTAGACAGTGTAAAAAAAAGGAAAACAGTTCGACTATGTTCACGAAACAAAGAAAAACCATCGGCAGCCTTTTAAGTATTTTGATTTTGATTTTCTTTTTTGTTTTTTTTTGTTTTTGGTTTTTTTTTTTTCTTTGTTTAAATTGATTTGTAGTAGTAAAGCGAGTTTTTCCTCTTTTTCTTTTGTTTTTTTTTTTTTTGTTTCCTCTTTACCTGTATTACGTATAAATAGTTCTCCTAAATGCTAAACATAAAAACAGACACTGGTTTCAGTAAATTCATTACAAAAATTTTTCGGCATTACATAATATTTCATTTGATTTTCTTAAAGAATTTTCTAATTAGTTGCTGTTCTTAAACTTAATCATTAATAATTAGTGTGTGTGTGTATGTGTGTATGTGTGTTTGTAAGTATATGCAATATATTTTCTTTTTTTATTTTGTGAAAACCAAACATCTATTTTTTTCGATTTTTCTAAGGCATATTCAATTTTTAGCATCCATTTAATGTAGAAAGTGGTTTGTTTCATCATGAGGTTGCAGAGAGAAATATTTAACAAAATTGAATTCAATTACATTAACAAATTTAACTTAATATAAAAAGTATCAAAAAGAAAAAGTAATTAAATAAATTTCAAAAAAAAAAAATAATAATAATAATAAAAAAGAACAAGTAAGAAATTTGTATTCGCTTGGAAGCAAATATTGGGTACCCATCACGATAAGTTAAACATCGCAAAATATTTTTATAATTTTTCTATTTAATGACATAACAGTTATTCAGGCCTCTTTAAGGTCACAGATTTCGGATGAGTGCTAAAATTTAAATCCTTATACCGCTGTAGACATTTTAAAACTTTTCTCAACGTTTTTTTCCCCCAACTTTCGATCAACCAGACGCATCAGGATGAGCGGAGTATATTTATTTATACGCTTGATCTATGAGCTTTAATTAGGAACGCAAGTGTCAAATTTCAACTTTCTATCACGATTTGACAGCAGATGGACAGACTGATCGTTAAATCGATGTAGTCTCTGAATGCATCATGAAGCCATCATTCGAAGCACATAACAAAGTTATGCCCTTATATATATAATGATGAGTACAAATATATAAAATAGTCGTTCTACACAATTATTACATACGTACATACGAGTGCTTTTATTATATGATTAATTTCTTCTAATTTTATATTTTAGATCATAAAGCATTATTTTTTTCTTAAGTTCTTTTTCATTTATTTTATTTCTTCTCTTCTTCTTTTGTCTTATTACTTTAGTTTTTTTTTTTTTAACACCGATTCTTCTTTAATGTAGTTCGCTTTTGCTTATATTTCAGTTTAATTTTTTTGCTTCTTATTCTCGTTTTGATATCGTTCGCTTTCTTTTAATCGAAACGATGTGTTATAAAATTGTGTATGATATCCGTGGTATGTTCATCCAATCCACATATTTCCAATATATTCTCTTTGCGTGTTTGAGAATAGTGCATGGAACGTCGATATTTCAGTAGATCTAGAACTATGAATCTAATGGAACAAGAAACAAGTTTTTAAAAACTTTTTATTCGTTTCTCTTAATTCGATTTTTGTGTATCCATCATCTAAAGATAATCTCAACAGACCGCGAGAGCTCCCGCTTTACTTAAATTATTCTTTTCTTTTACCTTCCAACACTTTCTGAGTAAACACCTTCAACTCATTGTTAAGAAATGGGTTTAATCTCTTAATATTCACGACCACAATATATTGTTTTGTCTATAATTTTTGATCCCATAATGACATTTCCTTAACCCATTCCAATATTCTGATCGGTTTACCAACCATAATTAACAATAAAATTTTTATTGCCAATTTATGGACTAAAATATGAAAAAATTGTCAGTTTCACGACATCTTTTTTAGATTGCGTGCGGATCATTTTGTCTTTGTGATCTAATTCTATGTTGGGCTTTTAGACGGTTTCAAGGAATATTTTATGGATTAATAGTTAAGATTTGTTTACTATTGCTATTCTTGCTATAATTTATTTGTACTTAACTTATTGTGATGAAATGTTAGATGATCTTTGAAAACACTTAACCCAAGTTTTAGATTAAATTATACTATAGAATGTAAACTATTCTGGTTTGCGTCTCTTACGCGTAAGTCTGGACGGTTCACACTCACGTTGCGTTTGCTAGTCTAATCTACAAGTATAAGGTAAGAATGAATATTGAAAGTTTCAAGCACAAACACTAAACAAACGGACAAGCATCCGCATAAACGTAAACCAAATGGACATATGTATATATTTTATGGAATTTTTCGTACGCATTTTTGTAATTTGAAATCGGAAGGCCAACTTTATTGGTGACTATAAAACTGCTCTAAATAAGCCCCTATAAATGTAATAGCCATCTTTAACACGAAGGAAAAAACGTTATTAATCAAGAAAATGTTGCACTTATAAGTAAAAAATCGTTTAATACTGAGGAATCGTTTCTACTTCAAAATATTGAGTTCAGAATATTGGAGCAGATTTAACGCGTCAACGAGTTTATTAGGCTTATACAACGTCAAATTTGGCAAACTTTATGTGATGTAACAATCTACCAAATATAATTTACATCACAGATAAAGACTGCACCCAAATAACTAAACTTCCGGAGTATTCACGGCTTTCACAGTGAACGATAGGACATACAGATCAAATTACTTACTTTGCTTTTGGACTCTTTAAGCGATATTTGTCCAATTGCATGCAAAGATGATCTGACTTTTGATTGGGATTCCCGCGGCCCGCATTAGGCACAATACAAAGAAATACATCATAAATTTGGTCACTATGCAACGCTTCTGTTAAAGGAATTACCAAACGTTGGGAGTTTTTAATATTCTGAAAAAAAAAAAACAAAAATGCAAAAGAAGATAAGGTAAAAACATCTGAAATCAAACGTCACGTGGTACCTGGATATTATCGCAACAAGCAATAGCTTTTTTTATATCCATCGTTTTGCACCAAGCAATACGTTCTAATCTCGTGTTTCCGTGAAACCAATGAAATACATCCACATGCTGTTCGCGTTTGAAGTAACCAAACGCTAAAGCAATGGCTGCATCATAAAAACTTAGTTTTTTATGATTTCGCAAAAATTCTGAAGATGAATAACAATTAATTTGTAGTTACGAAATCAACATTGGCTTAGTTAAAAGAATCTTACTTATTTTATAGCTGGCTTGAAGATTTATAGTTATATGCATACGCAAATCAGTTATAGACTTATCCGGTGTTAAGGTAAACAAATTTTGATACAAGTCCTGGATGTATTTCATTTTCATATTTTCAACACGCTTCGGTGACAATCGTGTTATATCTCCTCGTATACCCATGCGACGCATATTAATTAAGAAATTTATCGGCTGAATTTTACGTTGCAATTTTCTATTGCTCAGCATTCTTTCACAAGCTTGCATAATTTTCGGATCTTGTAAGAGTTTCGACTGAGCCAAGCGACGCCAGTTCTTTATTAATTGCAAATATGTCATACTGGGTATCAGAATTTCCATTATACTGGCACTTTTCAAAAAGTGTGTTGGCACTTGATCGTATCGCAATCTGTTTGATCTTATGATGTTCAAAGCCTCTTTTTTATTCGTAATAGTACGCAATTTGGCCACATCTAAAATTGTCTGAGCTGTTGTAGAATTCATTTTGAACACACGTTTCTTTTTAAAATCTATTTGCTCCTGTGTTGGATTCGAGTTTGTTCTTTCAGTGGTTTCGTTCAATTCATTCGCGTTTACACTGCTCTTCGCTTTGGAATCCTCGACGAGTTCAGTGCATGTTTTGAAAAATGGAACTGTACTTCCAGAAATTTTTGCATCTGAAATATGACAAAGTTTCAATAAGGACTTGTGTGTAAAACCATGTTGCCCGCGATGTTTTAACCACATATCCTGCAACTTTTCTGCCGGTCTCGTTTCATACCAGCAGGTAATGGCTTTACGAACAGTCTTGGAGAAACCTTTGCGATTTTGCTCTTTAGCGATTAGAATAGCATACTTGCAGAACAAGAATAAATCATTATCACTGCATATTAGACAAGTAAAAGCGAGACGCATGCCAGTTTTCTGTTTCGTATCAACGTCTGCTGCCAAATAAGAGGCATACACAAAAATCGGCTGTAAGTATAACAAAGATTTCTTGTTTTAAATGTTCTTCAATTCACTTGCGAGAGCCTGACTTACTTCATCTCTTCTCACCAAATTGTCGGATTCCACTAAAACTTCCTTTAACAATGAGATCATGGCTTCTACACTTATTTCCTTGCACATTTCCTTAATTAGTGGCCAATAATAACCTATTTTAACATTTCCATCTAAGTGTACACAAACGGGCTCGAATGACCCTAAAAAGCAAAAGCGACGCAACTTTGTGATAGCATCTAGTTCCATGATGTCCCAGTGCTTATTTTCTCGTAACTTCAATCAAGCTGATGAAGTTCAAACATTTACTCATATGCATAAACAATATAAAGAAAACAAGTTATAAACTTACCTAAAAACGTAACGAGCTTCGAAAAGGGAAATCGCAAATGATATTCATGTATGTGAATATGGAAGCCTATTTACGTCTCCTTTTTTACTATTTATTCAATGTTTCCTTTTCTAATGCCGTCGTTTTTCCAATGAACAACGGGCGGTTTTTTATGTTCCTTTCTTTTTTGTTGTTGTTTTGTTTTTTGCAAATTGTCTTCAATGCAAATCCATTTTTTAGTCTCCTTCGGGATCGGCGTTGCCATAAATAAAAATTTTTGTTATATTTATTAACTAAGCAGTGTGAATTAACAGCGATCTACTGCAACTGTAATTTGACTGCTGATTTTATGACGAACTTTCAATTTACTACATATATTAAGTAAGTTATGCTTATTTTGAGAAAGACAAATTCTCTATACTTACTTGTTGATATAACAATTAATAATTATTTCAGTTTTAAGCACAATGTTGTGTTATTTGGTTATCCGGGGCTAATAAATCCTAACAATTAAGTTCAATGAGAAACTGCGTTACCATATTAGTTTTATAAGAAAATCGATGTTTTTCGGGCTAAAAGTTCCCACCAATAACAAAAGCGATATTTGTGGACTTTTGCCGACGGCTTTGTAATTAACATAGAGTATTATTATTTTATTTTTAGTGAAAACTACTGCTTTTTTATAGGATATGTCCTTCCTTGACGGCAAATATCCTTTTGACGAGCAACAGTAATTACTAAATTACTTTCAGCAAGTCCTTACCTAGGTCAAGATTTAGTTCAATGGGTATGAGTTTATATGTTTATATATGTTTTATTAAGTCTAATCAAAGAATAATCCTTCCGTTTTTCTTCGTTTCCTGTACGGTATAATGGATTTAAAGTTAAAAAAGGAAAGAAAAGCCACAATATGCTTAATTTTTTTATAAACGGTTTACTTATTTATTTATATGCTTTATTCACTTCTACCGTTGCTTTTGTTGTTAAATTGCCAAATTGTTCATTTGTTTGTATAGAATTTCAAAAAGGTGTTTTTTATTGATTAGCAGAGAGTTTGGAAGAAATTGGGGACTTTTGCCGACTTTTGCAAATTAGCATAGAGTATTACGTTTTTTCTGTAAATAGCATAGAGTATTGCGTTTTTTGTTTGATTATTTGCATTGCCTGATATTTTTTTATTACGATATTATTCTTTAATTGAAAAAAAGCGTATATCAATAAGGTTAGGTAGTTCAGAATGGGTTCACAGATCTAGTCAAGGAAGCAACCCTGTTAGTCGACATATTTGTTAATGTGTCTATTAAATTATTATGTTTAGTACTATATTAGGTGATATACCAGCCTATTTTAAAATATTTTTCTTTCATATAAAAATCGATATGAAATATTTTAGACGAAATGAGGTATAACATACAATCGTTAGAACAACTAACATTTTGCACATACGCGCAAATTGTTAAGATATGAAACCCTTGGTATTATTTAATATCGTAATAGCTACAAGAAAAAAAAAACCGTTATTGAGTTCAGGGCGAAAGCGATTCCACAGAAGCAAGACCGAAGAATTTTCTAAACGAAGGTGCATGTAAACAAATTATTATAAATTCGATTTTAAAAGTTTTGAGTATTTTCATGCGTACTTATAGTAAAGTGTTTTTACAGTTTTTAGACTTTATATCCGTAGTATATTCTGGAGCAGATGAAAATGATTGATGCTGCATCAAAATGTGAGGTTAGGAAATAAAATTAATAACACGCGTTGAAATTTTAGAGTACTTAAGAAAATTTTCTGTAAAAAACAGGCTGAGCATGACGCCGAGGAAAAAATAGAAAAACTAGCTGTTAATAAACTGGGGACAAATACCATAAGTAGCAATTTAAGCTGCAGGTCATTTCAGGAAAATGAAGGTTCATTGTCGAATTTGGAAGTTCCAGACATATTCACAATCCCTGTCGATTGTGTATCCATTGCGGGCAATTTGAAGAATTCAGAGGACACTAATGAGGAAAATGCATTTGCAGCTATGCGGAGGTATCAAACACAAATTCCAATGGACAATGTGGAAATAAAATTACTTGACGCACCGTCACATTTAAAGTCGGCTGAAATATGTATTGAATTTAAAAAAACAGAAGAATCTTGGATATCTGCTGTTTATCGAACGTATGAAAATGATTTTTGGTGTAAAATCAAGCGAGAAGATTGTAAACATAAATGGCATTACTTTTGCAATTTTTGTAAGAGGCGCTATTGCTCATTCCCGTCTCTTAAAGGGCATCTTAACGAGCACTTGGGATTATTTCCTTTCAAATGCAAGACGTGCCTTAAGGTGTTTACCTTGCGCCACTCGCTAATAACACATCTGCGCTGCGTGCATCGCTACGAGAGAAGAGAATATGAGCATTATGTAACATATTGACATAAACTAGTGCGCTCTTACCAAACTTTTGTTAGTGAAAGTCGTGAGCCTTAACTTCTTTCTTTAACCAATTTAAATTTTCTTTCGTTTTTTTGCTACATTTTTTGTACTGTGAAGACATTTGCTTTTCGATTCAAAAAGTTAAAAAAGTTACTGTTTTGTATATAGTATATGTTCTGTATACTTCCATACTGACGAAATAAAAATCTGATTGAATGTCACATGCGAAGTAATTTTTTGAGTACGTCGTTAGCTTAAGACTGTTGGGTTGGCAAAGAAATTGAGTTTTGTAAACATTTTTCGGGTTTATTTTTAAAACATTCGTTTTACATTGTATATACTGTGATCATCGTTGCTGGGCAGGTGATGAGTATTTTCTTGGTGAATTCGTGTAAGTTCGCATTTGTGGATCGGCATAAATGCTGCCGATTTTAAGTTATTCATGGTAATATTTAATATTTTCTTTGTTGTTTTTTGGCCAATCTCAGGTAATAGGGTGATTCCCGTTCAATTTCCAATTTGATTCAAGTCACAACTGAAAACACATATGAGTTATCTCATTATTCTACCTTAGTTTGGATTTAGATCAGTTCAAGCAATGGATGAACGTGTAGATCAAAAAGTGCAGCTGTCAACTCACTATTCAGATTAGTGAATTACATTATATGTAATAACTCTTTGGTCCGTATTCCTAAACGCTTTGAAAGCCCTTTTTTTGAAAAGTCATTATATGGAAAAAGAATTGCAAATTTCAAAACTTTTCGACATTCCAAATTGGTATGGAAAACGGTTCTTACGAAAACTGAATCTTCCCATGATGAAAATTGCTTCATAATAGTAAATTGAGAAAGAAATCAACCATACCGAATTTAAATCACGTAGGTCTATTTTTTGGATACCACCGCATGTAAGTATTCTCGTTTATATATCTCAAAAAGCCCTCATTGTTGATGTTTTACAATCGAAATTTCTTCTCGATAATAATTAATCACAATTAAATGGATCAATTTTAAACGGATGGGTCGTGAATAGTAAGCGCGTCAGAAAAAGATTTAATTTTTAATATATTAAGATGAAAATTGGTTCATAGTGGCAATTTTATCGGAAAATTAACCATAGGAAATTTGGAAAACATAGCTTTCCAAGACGTTTTATGTCGGAAACAGGTGAAATGAAATAAAATCTCTGACAAGCAACTAAGTTAATTTGGGTCACGTCAGACAACGTTTTAACAAAAATGAAAAAAATAATTGTATTAGGGGAAATGGTGTAAGGTATCTAATGGCAGCCTTGCGCGACTGAATGTCCTTGATATGTTTTTGTTTAAATTCTCACGCGATTTCCCTTACCCGCAAAGTTTCTGCGTATAGAGGAAAGTGTAAACTAGTTAAGACCAAACATAAAGCATTTAATTATTGTTTACGCAATCCAATATACCAATCCAGCATACCTTATCATCCACTTGAACTGTAGTATGCTGCGTGTATAGCGCAAACGGCACAAAGCAAAATAAACGCATTAGTGCAAAATATTAAAGAAGTCATTGATAGGTTTATGATTTTTAAATAATTTTATGTCTCGATGTTTATCAAAAGGTAGATAGGAAAAGTTGATTACGATCGAACGTTAAAAAGTAGACGCCGTGTTAAGCGTTTGATAGCGCTATAAACGCGCTCGCAGAGCATTTTGCACATATTTTAACTTTTTTGTACATAAAATAACATTGACTTTCAACTTATCACTGCTCATTAGTTTGCTATATCTCAGCGATGAAGCCTAGTGGTGGTTTTTTTCTTGGATATTAATTTATACGTCCAGATTATAAGTAGATAATTAATTTCATGTTTTTTTTTTTCGTTTGTTGTAGACACAGGTCTGTATCTCCAGAAACGTGATGTAGTATGTTTTGTGTACAGAAGTTGATTATGAGTGAGTTCAGCGTATATGTAGTCAGTCCAGATACGATATCCAGAAAGAAGTGGCAAGATTAGGATGAGAGTGGGGAGAGAAGATAGCGTAGATAGACAAAAGAAAAGAAATGCAGTTAGCTCCTTAAGATTAGAATAATCGTGAGCACAAAACATATCAAATAAGGGGTAGTCTGCTATTGTCCCATCTTTTACATTTGAAGATGCGATGTTCAGCCGATTTAGGTATTAGGCAAATGTCGCAAATATCACTGCCAACTGCTCGGATCATTTTAACATAATATTTGTCATATGTATGGCTAGTCATAAGTCTGTAGAGGAGTTTGATCTCTGACAACGAGAAAAGAGAGTCCGGCAGGGTTTTAAAGGAGATGGATGGAAATACTTTGTAGAAAACACGATCTGCTTTTCCTCTTGCGACGTTGTTGTATTCCTCATTAAGTGCGCTGGTAATGGTATTACAGATGACGGACAACGCCTCTCAGATATAATTTCACCATCAGATTGACCTTTACGTGCGTAGAAACCAGCTTGTCATTAAGACAGCAACCATAGTGACTGGGAACCCAGACAAGGTGGAATTGCTCAAAGAAAGGGTTGTCCAGCGTGTTGTAGATTTCGTAGACATGTTAGTTTGTAGCGTCTTTATATTTTAATGAACAGCAGAGCTGATCGGCTGCCAGAAAAGACGACAAATTATACAGCAATCGACTGCCTGTTTAATGATCAGTAATTCAATGAGCGTCGAGAATAGATTATCCAAGATTTTAGCTTTGAGGGGAAATGTCAACAGAAAAATAGGATATTTCAGTAGCTACAGAGCCGTCTGCGGCATACACTTCAAAGCAGTTGTTGCGATAAAACTCCAACTTCTTATTACACGAAACGTTCAGAGCTGATAAGGGAATGTTCTCTTGGCGGAGTTGAGCGGCGCTAGGATGTTGAGATCCACAATACAGTTGTTGCAGTCAGAGTTTCCGATAGCAAAGAAGTTTAATTTGTCAAAAGCATGCCTGAAATTGCGATAACAAAAAAGGGACCTTATCAGATACAGCTAAAACTTTACTGAGCAATGAGGATGTCATTGCTTTCAGCTTGTCATGCTGTTTCGCTGTAAGTTGCAGGGTTCTTTGAGACACTGGCAGCACGCCAGACATAACTCGTAAAATGTTGACGGGGGTCAACGAGATGAAACCAGAGTATCGTCTCAAGTGTCTATTTTCAAAAGTCTGAATTTGCTTAGCTACACACGCTGAAAGGTTACAGGCCGCTAAGTGCGCGAATTCAATTTTCGATCGGAGTGGAGACTCGTATATCAAGATATATGTGTTTATCATGTTTACTAGTATGTAGCTTGGTTACATTAGAATTGCAAGAATCATTTTTCATAGTAATTACGAAAAGCTAGGCTAGCATTAATGGAAATTCCAAGAAATCGAAAGGCGAAAAAGGTTAATAGTTTTGTTTGATCCCTTTGCGAAGTAAATTACGCTGGTCTTTCTTAGGTTAAAACGAAGTTTCGCACATTCTTCGTAAAAAAAGATTTGCTTTCCAGGAGAGACTTCCGCAACAGAAAGTCATCAGCATATTCAATGATATGGGTTTTGCAATTCTGCACCTGGTGCAAGTAAGGGGCTTAAGCGGCTGCCTTAAGGCAAACCGTCTTACACCACTATCAATTCAGAGCCCAAAAGCAGAAAGCGCTTCGGTAAGATGTTGAGAACTCAGAACCGTGTATGAAGGGGGACGTCAAAAAGCATCAAAGTCTTTGCTAGTTTCTTGAGTTTGGCACAATCATATGCTTTATTGATGTCAAGGGACAACAAAACAACTTTTCTGCCTGTGGAAAGAACGAGTTGGTTTGATATTATGGGCATTAAGTAGGGCAACGAGTCTTTCTTTGATCATCAAATTAGTGAATTTAAGAAGCACTGAAATAAGAGCAATCGGTCTGAAGTTACCGATATTGTTGTGGCTTTTGCCAGGCGTGTCGAAATGAGTGTATGACAAACGTCACATAAAATACATACAAACATTTTAAAATTTAATTGTGAGTACCCCAAGTAGTGAAGTATTTTCGTCCGCGAGAAAAAAACCTGAGTTATGGGTAAAAACCATTGCTATTGCAAGGGATATAAATAGGTGTAGAAAAAATTTTATAGCAAAAAATTTTTTTACAAAATTAGTATTAAAGTAGAAAATGGTAGGGTGAATCCGCCGCAAATTGCTACATATTCTAAGAGATATTTGAGGAACAAAGCAGCGAACCAATGGCAGGCTCTGCAGATACTCAAATTGATGGTCCAGACAATTAAACAGACTATATAGGGCATTTTTTATTGTCCTATGGTTAAGACTGACATACGAGAACACTGTACGCAATTGTGGCCTGATTAGCAAAAATCGATGGACCAACACGAACTTGACAGAGTTTTGCGTACCGAAACTATGTACGACATGTGGCGTTGCACTTAAACAGCGCGCGATTATCAAGAATATTTCCAGGGATATGTGCTGGGCATATCGTTTATTACGGACTGCAATAATAAAACCTATTCCGTAAATGATTTGACGACGGCAACATTCAACTTTAAAAACCTATTATTATTGTAGGAAATACAACATACAAAAACGTGATCCGAGACAACGTTTGATGATATTAAATGCTGACCTATGTTTTATAAGAGTAGCTGGAAGTGAGAAAATTATTTTCATACCGGAACTGCTCAACCGGTCGTCTAACCTCGGTTAAACTGGCATAGTGTGTTCTAACATCCTGCTGATGTGGATCGTTATACCAATTTAGAGCTTCGTGGATGCATGAATCGTTTGCACGATTTTAGTCGCCGCTTACAAGAAACCGAAAGTAGTGCTCACGACTGGATAAAGAGAGCTTGTAGAGCTATCAGGCCGTATCTTAGATCCTCCGCGAATAGTGTGTGAAACCTATACCATAGAGTCGCTTACTTCTCAACAACAGTGGCAACTGTTTGTTCAGCAGACTTGCCAGCAGAGCGCTGCAGTGTCCAAGTGTTAGTAACACCCATGAATTACGTAACTTTCTAGATAATTTAATAATATCTGTAAAATATCGCTGAGGCACATCAAAAGAAACAAGGCGTACCTCTTGGAAAGTTTGGTGGGATCAATAAACTACCCCACCATAATTCATAATATGTACTTTCCATTTAGAAAATATCATGTTCTATTCTCGATAAATAAAAACTTTAACAGATAAATTTAAATAATTACAACTTGTAAATATTTGCAATTAATGT